GTTAAAAAAAAAAAAAATTAAAAAAAAAAATTCAGGGGGGCATCTGGGTGCTCAGTGAGTTAAGCGTCTGAATTCAGCTCAGGTAATGATCTCACAGTTCGTGGGTTCAAGCCCCTCATCATGCTCTGTGCTGACAGCCCAGAGCCTGGAGCCTGCTTCAGATTCTGTGCCCCTCTCTCTCTCTCCCCCTCCCCTACTCACACTCTGTCTCTCTCTCTCTGTCTCTCAAAAAAATAAATAAATAAATGTTAAAAAATTTTTTTAAATTCAGCAACATGTAAAATGAAACTATATTTTTAGATGTGAATACCCAGGTAATAAAACTGTGAAAAAATACATTAAAGGTTACTTGAAAAGTGAGTACAGTAATCATCTGTAGGGTGGGAAAAGGATTGTGTACAAGAAGAGACATATCAAGAGCTTTCTTAGGAGTAACAATGTTCTATTCCTTGACTCAAGTTTTGGGTATATAGATGTTTACTTCATAACTATTTTTTAAATCATGCATGCATAGTTCATCTGCTTTTCAGCATATGTGCATTTTATATAATATGAAAGAGATTTAAAATTTTGGGGTGGACTGAAATGCACATTCTGTTTAAGATTTAAAATGAAATATGAACTTACCCTTTTCTTACATCATACACAAAAATAAACTCAAAAAGGATGAAAGACCTAAAAGTAAGACAGGAAACCAACAAAATCCTAGAGGAGAAAACAAGCAACACCTCTTTGACCTTGGCCACAGCAACTTCTTACTGGACGTGTCTCCGCATGCAAGGGAAACAAAAGCAAAAGTGAACTATTGGGACCTCATCAAGATAAAAAGCTTCTGCACCGCAAAAGAAACAATCGACAAAACTAAACGGCAACTGACAGAATGGGAGAAGATATCTGCAAATGACCTATGGGATAAGGGGTTAGTATCCAAAATCTATAAAGAACTTATCAAAATCAACACCTAAAAAAAACAAGTAATCCAGGGAAGAAACAGGCAACAGACATGAACAGACACTTCCTGATGGCTAACAGACACAAGGAAAGATGCTCGACATCACTCATCATCAGGGAAATACAAATCAAAACCACAATGAGATATCATCTCACACCTGTCAGAATGGCAAAAATTAACAACTCAGGAAACAACAGATGATGGAGAGGATGTGGAGAAGGGGAACACTTTTGCACTAGCTGGTGGGACTGCAAACTGGTACAGCCACTCTGGGAAACAGTATGGAGGTTCCTCAGAAAATTAAAAACAGAGATTTCCAAATTATGGAAAGAGTCCAAATGTCCACTGACTGACGAATGGATAAAGAAGATAAGGTATATATATACAATGGATTATTACTCGGCGATCAAAAAAATGAAATCTTGCCATTTGCAACAATGTGGATGAGACTATAGAGTGTTTTGTGCTAAGCAAAATAAGTCAGTGAGAGAAAGATAAATACCGTATGATTTCATTCATATGTGGAATTTAAGAAACAAAACAGAAAAACATGGAAAAGGGAAGGGAAAAGAAGATAAAAACAGAGGGGGAGGCAAACGTGAGAGACACTTAAATACAGAGAACAAACTGAGGGTTGCTGGAGGGGTGTTGGGTAAGGGGATGGGTTAGATGGGTGATGGTTATTAAGGAAAGCACTTGTTGGGATGAACACTGGGTGTTATATGTAAGTGATGAATCATTAAATTCTACTCCCAAAACCATTATTACACTATATGCTAACTTAGATTTAAATAAAAATTTTAAAATGTTATAAAATAAAATACTAGAGTTAAAAAAAAAGAAAGATGATTTTAAGGAATGCCTGGTTACCCTATCATGAAATTAATTGGTAATAGTTAAGATAAATCTTGGTACTTGTCTAGTAGAGCACAGAAAAAAGTAGAGATATATGTATCAACGTTAAGTGATTCTCACAGACATAAGACAAGTCAACAGTGCCAAAGAGAAGAGTATTATATATACTATAGTAATTATATATGTACTACATATTATCTTATGGTCTAGATCAAAACAAATCCATGGTGCAAAACATATTAAAACAGTGATTGCCTCCATGGTAGTGGGGACTTCACTAAAGGACTTTCTGGTAAAATGGAAATGTTCATTTGATAGATGTGGGAATTACACGGACCTGCTACTGTGTATCAAAACTCATCACTATGGATGACTAAGGATTTATGAATTTCAATTGTGTAAATTCCACCTAAATTATGAAATAAAACATTAAAGGTAAACAAGACTAAATTAATTATATGAATAAGTCTATGTCTTTACAAACTCAGCTGATTTGCTTAAATACAGTATCTTTCACTTAGATTACAGTACTGTGAACTCCTTCGATGTTTCTTTCCATATTATATTACAGTTATTTGTATTTGTGTGGGTGGGTGAGGGTTTTTCAGTAGTCTGTAGGTTTCTGGGGAGGAGACCCTAACTCATGCTTACAACGCCAATACTGGCAACGTGTGTATCTCGGATTATCCACTCAAACCAATCTCCTTTATAAAAGGCAGGGACTTGATAGAGGTTCCTCAAAGCTTGAATGAACAGAAAAAAGAGGTAGGTCTCCAAGTGTCATCCTTGGGCCTTTAGCATCAACATCACTTGGATTGGTTAGAAATGCTAAACCTCAGAATCCCCCTGTATTCAGAACCTCTGGAATTTGTCCCAACCATTTCTAATAAGCCCTTCAGATGACTTGGTGCATCATCTGAATGCACTGGACTCTCACTAAATGGACAATAATTCAAAATAGTAGCAAAATGAATTTGATTTGACTAATCACATTTCACATGGATCCAACAAATGTGCACTAGGATTACCTATGAGGTAAGTTCTGAGGAGAAGCACATTCTCAATTCTTTTTGTCCCATTGAAGAATATTTTTAGTTAAGAATGAGGCAAGAATAAAGAAGAGGCTATGTCTTCCAGAATCCAAAGACCATACAGAAAAATGCAACACAAAAAGATATGATGAAAATGTAAACACTCAATGAACTACAAATCATGGCAGTGACTGGAACCATACAAGTAGTTGTCTACATGATTTTAGAGTAGAGAATATGATCCAAAGTTAGAAACATCCAAGAAAACCCATTCCAGTGGCAGAGGTCAGCAACATCACATGCTCATTGGCAGCTGCTCCCTTCCTCATTGATCAACAATGACCCATAAAATTGGAACTTATCCCCTTGTCCCATGCCACCTCCATCCTCTGCAGATGTGATTACTGGCAGAAATGCACAACCAAAACCAGGATTGTCTTCATCCCATCCTGCTAGGGGATGTAGCAGGGGACAGAAACATGTAATTGCAGGTGCCACCTATCACATGAAGCCCTCTGGGAGAAAGATGAGGAAAGAGTGGTCCAGAAGATGCCAGTGGGTATAAGTCAAAAGGAAAAGCAGACCAGACAGAATTTATCACATTTAGAAAAGAAAATTTTGTTCCCCTCAAGTTTAAACCATTACAAAGACAAACATTACTGTGAAATATCATAATTACTTAAATATTAGGTAAACAAAAACAAGGAAGATGTGTTGACAAATCACCCGGTACGAGCAGTATATAAGAGGTCAGGGCACAAGGAGACTTCCAAAGTCCAGCCCCTCACTCTCCTGGAAACCAGCCCAGAACCTCCACCCTCTGACACCATGGTCAACTCCTGTTGTGGCTCCAGCTGCTGCCAGCCTTGTTGCTGCCCCACCTGCTGCAGGACCACCTGCTGCAGGACCACCTGCTGCCAACCCACCTGCTGTGTGTCCAGCTGCTGCCACCCCTGCTGCAGGGGATCCAGCTGCTGTGGCTCCAGCTGCTGCCAGCCTTGCTGCCGCCCCAC